TTAGTACAAGAGGTGTAAAGAGAAAATTAACCAAAGAGAATTTCGTTTCATTATGACACAAGAGATTATGCCACATCTCCCAAAGGAGAATTGAGAGGCTTGTGTCAGATTGAATTCTAGATCCTTTTGATTTTACAAATTTTGACATATATGTCTATTGTATCAAGGGGAAACAGACAAACATTAAAAGACTAGGTGCCAACAGGACTATGAACGTATTAGAACTCATTCATACAGATATTTGTGGACCATTCCCTACGAGTTCTTGGAATGGTCAACAATATTTCATAATGATCATAAATAATTATTCAAGATATGGATACCTATATCTCATTCATGAAAAGTTTCAGTCCCTGAATGTGTTCAAAAATTTTAAAATAGAAATTGAGAAACAACTCAATAAAAGATTAAGATTGTTAGATCTGACCATAGTGGTGAATACTATAATAGATCTGACGGTTCAGGTGAACAGCATCCAAGGCCATTTGCTCGCTTCTTAAAGGAATGCGGTATCATCCCACAGTACACCATGTTAGGTTCTCCTAACATGAATGGTGTTGCTGAAAGGCGAAACAGAACACTTAAGGATATGGTAAAAAGTATGATTAATTATTCTACTTTACCTGAATCACTCTAGAGAGAAACATTAAAGATCACAATATATCTACTCAATAGAGTTCCAACTAAAACAACTACAAATACCCCTTATGAGTTTTGGACAGTCAAGAAGCTTAATTTGAGACATTTGCACATTTGGGGATGTCTAACTGAGATTAGACCTTATAGGCCATATGAAAAGAAACTGAACTCTAGGACTATTGTTGCTATTTTGTTGGTTATTCTGAGCGATTCAGGGATTACAAATTTTATGATCCTACTATTAAGATAATTTTCGAAACAGAAAATGCCCAATTCTTTGAGAATGTTGAGCTTGCGGGGGAAAAAAAGAGTTCGAGACCTTATCTTTGAAAAAGAATGGTTCAATATTCCTATTCCCTCAGTTGCTCTTAACAATTATTAGAATTAGATTCTTATACCTAACATTGTTCAAAAAACAACTCGAGATCAAGACAATATCATAGTATCTCCCACTTCTGTTTAGGAAACTGTTCCTGAAGTACAAACTTCACACCCTCAAGACTTTATGCCATTAAGGAGATCCACCAGAGAGAGAAGAAGTGCAATTCCAGATAATTATATTGTATATCTCCAAGAACATGAGTTTGACATTAGTACAATAGAAGATGATCCTATCAACTTCCGTCAAGTTATGAAAAGTTCTAATTTTCAAAAGTGAATTGATGTCATGAATGAAGAGATAAAGTCCATGAAGGACAATAATATTTGAGATATTCTCCCATTGTCTAAGGATGCAATATCCATTGGTTGCAAATAGATATTTAAAACGAAAAGGGATTCGAAAGGTAATGTGGAGAGGTACAAGACTCGTCTTGTTATTAAGGACTTTACATAGAAAGAAAACATCGATTATAAAAAGACTCTCTCTCCGGTTTCGTCGAAAAACTCTTTGAGAACTATAATGGCTTTAGTGATACATTTTGATCTTTAGTTACATCAGATAGATATTAAGATAGCATTTTTCAATGGTGACATTGATGAGATGATTTACATAGTGCAATTAGAAAACTTTGTATTCAGAAATGGATAGCAAATGGTTTGCAAATTAAAGAAATCCATTTATGCACTTAAGCACCTTAGTGGAACATCGTGTATACCACAAGTTTAGTGAGAGTAAGTATATTTTTCTTCTTTTATATGTCGATGACATATTACTTGTTAGTACTGATATAAGTTTATTACACGAAATCAAGAAATTTCTGACAAAGAAATTTGATATGAAAAATCTTGAGAACGCCTCTTTTGTATTAGGAATTTAGATACACCGGGATTGCTCTCGTAGTATTCTTGAATTATCACAAAAAAATTATATAAAAAAGGTTTTGAAAAGTTTTGACATGCAGGATTGTAAACCAGTTGACTCCCTTGCATTTAAAGGAACAAGCTTACTCTGAGTTAATGCTCCAAGAATGATTTAGAGATTACGGAGATACAAAAGATTCTTTATGGTTCAACTGTAAAAAATCTTATATATGCACAAACCTGTACGCGTTCGGATATTGCGTACATTGTTGGAATTTTGCAATCCAAGTATGGATCATTGGAAAGTAGCCAAACGTATCATGTGGTATCTACAGAGAACAAAATGGTATATGCTCATATACAGTAGTCAAATAAGATGAAGATCATTGGTTATTCTGATTCTGATTTCACCGGATGTCAAGACAGTAGAAAATCTACATGATGTTATATTTACTTGCTTGCTGGGGGAGCTATTTCCTAAAAGAATGCTAAACAAACACTTGTAACCTCTTCTACTATGTCAGCAGAGTTTATAACTTGTTATGAGGCATTCAATCATAGAATATAGCTGCAAAATTTTGTCACTGAACTGCATATTGTTGATAGCATAGAAAGATCATTAAAGATATTTTGTGACAATAAGTCTGTAGTTATGTATTCTAACAACAACAGAAGCTCGATGAAATCAAAATATATAAATATCAAGTTCTTCGTTGTTAAAGAAAGAGTTTAAAGTAAGCAGATATCGATAAAACACATTGGAACAAACTCCATGATTGCGGATCCGCTCATTAAGGGACTACCACCTAAGGTCTTTCATGAGCACACTGCTCATATGGATGTTGAATCCCCAGATGATGTGTAGTTTCAGTGGGAGTCTTGTACTATAGTTGCATTTATTTTGTAAGACATGTCACAAACTTTGTATTTTGGTTTTTGTTTATGTATATATATGGTTTCATTCCAGTTTTTGTGTTTTAGTTTTGTTTATATATATTATTTCTGAATTTTCTTATAGTTGATTCACTAAGATTAAGGTAAAACTAGTTGGAAATAAGCATGCTTAGATCACATAGCATATAATTTCTATGCTACACATCCATATTTGATCTATGTCATTCAATTATACCGATATACGTAACCATTGATGGCATTAGCTACGTTACCTGCAGTGAAGACCGCTTTAATCTTATGTCTTTATGATCGATGGACAGGATTGTTTGGTGATACATTCATGTATTGATAGCACAGTTCTGAGTAATTAAGCTGTCACATAAATCTCAAGTGAGAAATTATTGAGTTTTTTCTAACATGTGGGCTTAATATGAGGTTTGGTATGCATATCAGGCTATCAATTTAATGAGCTCGTTTAAAAGTGATCAAATATAGTTAAACAATAGTTGGTCTTAATGCATCGGGTTTAAGTATGAACTTGTAATGTGCAGATATCATTTTTGTAATATTCTTATTTTATAATAGGCGAAATGAAAATTGAAAAAAATTGTCGATATAAAAGGCGGTTATGGTTCCTGAATCACAAGGTTGCCATTTTATTTTTCTAAAATTCTGTCATCAGAAAAAAACTAATTTTTAGGCCCAGTGTTGATTCGAAATATTCTACTGCCGAACGCGAACAATTCTTCCACGATAGATTCAGGTATGCTTACATTTACATTTTTCATTAATTTAGTACGAAATTGTATATTTAATTTTTACTAATCTATAAATTTGAAAGAATTTTTATTCCAACAGTTGGAGTCAGCAACTCTACTAGATTTCCTTCATCTGGGATCCTGGGAAAGAGAATTAAGTTGGCCCTTGCAAACAACTTGATGTACCAATCATAACACCCCAATTGACTAGTTCTTTCGCTTTTCCCACGATTCTCTGTCTTGAAACTTCAATTTTTTTTGTAACTTGAATGATAGAGATTCAAGTTAGAGAAACTAATGAACTCAGTTCCATGTTTAAGTTTATTACAATTATTTTAACCTTCCCAACAGCCTAATTTATAGGGTATGGACCCTTGATTCATCGGGTATCTATACTTGTAATCTTTTTTCAATCATATAACAAAGAACCAAAATGTTATCAAACTACCTTTACCAAGGCTTTCTGGCAAGTCAAGGTTCCTTCGAAGGTAAGTGCTTTCATATGGACTATAATTCTGAACCGACTTAACACTAACGAGTCGCTGTAAATTCGTAAGCCTAACCAAACTTTATTGCTTGAGATGTGTGTTGTGTGCCACAAGAGCACGCAAACACATTCTCATCTCTCTTTGCATTGTGGAGTGGCATGAAAATTATTGGCAGACTCTTTGACACTTTTAACCTACTATGGGTTACTCCTCCTTTGGATTGTGTCATCAATACAATTTTGGTGCTTCAGGGTTAAGATTAATGCCAGACCGTTATAGAAAGCAGCGTTGTTTGTGTACAAGACAGACTTTTCACACATTCTCCTAGGGAGTTCTTTTACGATCAATTCCAAGTCCCTCCAGTTTTTGGACTATTTCGACAGAGAGAAACGGGCGGGTATTTGGAGACTGCTCTTTGCACTAACCTCATCTTGAGAAGATGATTTTTCTGGCTTCCTCTGGTGCTAAGGCTCATGAGAACTACTCTGATATTTCCTTCACTATCCTTCCTAGGAGCTGGGATGTTACAGTCACGTGATTTGTTTTCTTCTTGATTCTTTTTGTATTTTTTATTTGATATCCTTTTGCTCCAGCTGGACATCTTATCTGCTGTTCTTTTTGTAATTCTTCTTTCTTGATCTTAATAAATTTCTTTTCCTATAAATAAAAAGGGGTACAAGTGTGGATTTATTTTCCCTGAACAATTAACCCAATTAATTGTTTATGGAGTTCTACTTTTCTTGGCAGCTTATAAATAAACCAAATCATGCACTCTCTTTTACCATACGGAGTTTACATAAATTATTTTTAAACCTACTGTTTCTTCATATCTACCTACCTATGTTTCACTAGCTTTCTGTCTGTCTGCAGCCTTCTCTAAAGATCTGGGCGGGTATTCTGACAGTGGTAGTATTTACAAGTATAATCCTGATTGTGTAAAAAATTTTTACAAATGTGATAATAAGAGAAAGTGACATACCTCATTAAATTTGAAGAGAAGAGGATGCAAATTTTTCCCAAAGGTTGATGTCTTCTGTGTGGCATTATCTGCATCCTTAGAACCTTTGCAGGGTTTCTTAAACCTGGCATATGATGAAGAAAACAGATCGGGAACCAAAAGGAAGATAAGAATGTATTAAAATAGTCAAGTAGCTTAGGCGTGTTAACCCTACATGATTTCATTCATTACTGGGTACAGCATGACTTCTCAAAGACCAGCAAAGGATTTAGAAGCCATCCAAAAAAAAAAAAAATTGTACCAAAAAGAATTGCTTTGAGAACACAACTAAGCAAAGCAGGAAATATGCCTTGAGATTGGCTTTGAGATGGCCTTGAGATAAATACAAGAAACAATGTCTCCACCATGTTTAGAGATTGGCCTTGAGATAAAATAGACTCTCAAGTTCACGTTATCTTCATGTACGACAGTATTCAACATGCACAATGCTCTGACCAGACCGTTATCAGATCAGATTTCATACAGTTAAGTGTACAAAGATAGATAATAAATGCATATTATAGATGAGAATAACTATCAATCCTTGTTTACAGCCCATAAAATTAAAAAAAAACCCTGAAGCATATATTTCCAAAAACAAATTTCCAGGTAAGAAAAATCATTATCGTTCACATCAATTATCAGTTTAGGTTGCCAGTATAGATATAATTAGCTGAAAGAGATTTAGATTTCTGCTATAAGTCACAGCAGAAAATATTAAGTGCTCTTCCATCGCATAAGTCCAATTTTCATCTTTAATTTTCTGATGCAGATAAAGAGACAAATAAAAGAAACCATTTAGAAAAACTTTTAAAGGTAACAGAAAGTATATTACCTGTCAAAGTAATTGGAAGAGCCACCAGAAGGCTTCTTCATCGGGACATTTCTACTAGGAACCAAAGTTGATAAAACTGTGGACGTACTTGGATCACCTTCCCTTGCTGACCTAATCTTTGCATTGTCCTTGCTCTCCGCTTGTGCAGTTGCAGAATCAACTTTGGTAGACTGGCCCCGCACCAAATCCTGGTTTCCCTTGTTGCTGCCATCAGTTAAATTAGCAGATCTTCCTTGCAAAATCTTTTGGTTTTCAACCTGGAAATGAAAAATAAAAATCCATAATAAGTAAATCAATCTGCATATAGGTAAGTTTGGTAATCTCAGGTGATAGACCCACAGAAGGATTATATGCAACTTTTGGAATTTATAAGATTAAATATGACTATGTGATATAGAACTACCAAACACGAAATAGCTGGAAAAGAAAAAAAAATCAGCAAGTCAATGGAAGATTAAACAAAAAAATCTACTAATATAGCATTTTGTGATGAAGGACAAGTAGCAATTAAAGTAACTTGTCTTACAAATACTTTAGAAATAGAGAATTTGGGTGAAACTGAAAAATATAGATAGCCCAGAGGAAATGACAGATCAAGGTGAAGAATTAGAGAAAGTAGAATGAATGAGATATGTTATATAGAATAGCAACCAAAAAAACAAACACAAAATAGAGAGTAAAAATCTAAAAAAAAATTAAATATTTTAATGTTTAAACAAACCTAAATAATTTAAAAATAAAAAATAATAATAATTATAAAAGATTTCTAAATTACAATATTCTTGTTCTATATCATTCTGCCCCACTTGGTAAAAACTCGATTACGAGTTTTGAAATGGCGGACCATCAAGATACGAAAGGCTCAAACATGCTCGTCAACATTTTAGAAAGTTGAAGTTTTTGATAATCTCCATAGAAAAGTTGAAAGTTAACTAAAATTACAGATCCTTTGGGATCATAAAACGAATGAGGTAAAATAAAATTATCCTTATAAATCTATTTAATGCAGTTATTATGGAGGAGAAGCACTTCAATAACAGTAGGTAGAACAAGAATGTTGAAAGAATACACAAATCCACATTAGTAGGCAGAACAATCGAGAGATATAAAGCGAGACTAGTAATAAACAATTATACACAAACATACGGGATAGATTACTAGGAGACATTCACACCAATAGCTAAGATGAACACTGTGGGAAATGTTGCTGCTTGTTCATTTTGATTAAAACTACAACAATTTGATGTAAAAAATATTTTCTTACATGGAGATTTAGAAGAAGAAATCTACATAAATATCCATTATTTTTTGACAGAAAAGTAGAACTAAATAAAGTACATAAACTAAAAAAGTCTTTGTATGAACTCAACAACAGTCAAAAGCATGGTTTGGCAGGTTTGCAAAGATGATGATAGATATGAGATTTAAGTAGACTCAAGAAGATCATACTCTGTTCATCAAACACTCAAGGATGAGGGAGTTAAAGTTCTCCTAATATACATAGATGACATTATTATACTAGTCTATGAAAAAAAATCTGACACCAAAACAGTGGTTGACAAAAGAATTTGAAATCAATGAACTTAGTAAATTAAAATATTTTTAAGAATTGAAATCACCTACTCAAAATGCGGGATTTTTATTTTTCAACTGAAATACATTCATAACTTGTTGAGGGGCACCGTCAAGTTAGCATGCAAATTCACTAGCACCTCTATTGATGTTAATCACATATTATGAATAATAAAAGAAGATAGGCCAGTAAATAAGGAAATATATCAGAAATTAGTTGGGAGATTGATATATCTATCCCACACGAGACCAAATATTGTCTATGCAATGAGTGTTATAAGTCAATTCATGTGCAGTTCAAAAGAAGTGCACCTACAAATAGCGTACAAAGTACTACATCATCTTAAAGGATCATCTGAAAAAGAAATTATGTTGAAGAACCATAAACTACTCCTAAAAGTCTATATTACTACAGATTATATAGGGTCAATCGTAAAAAGAAGGTCTACCATAGAATACCATCTCTTCCTCAGGGACCACCTAATCATGTGGAGAAATAAGAAAGAAACGTAGTTCCGAGATCAAGTGCAGAATCAAAATTTCAGATATTAACACAAAGAGTATGTGAACTATTATGGATAAAAAGAATTTTGAAAAATTTTAGAATCAAATGGAAAAACCCTATGTGCCTGTACTGTGATAGTAAATCGGCATAAACATAGTTCACAATCCGATACAACACGAGTGGACCAAACACATCGAGAACAATAAAGATTTTATCAAGAAAAACTTGATAACAGCCTGACATGTACTTCATAAAAGTCTATCAATTCTCAATTGGTAGATATGTTAACTAAAGTCTTAATCAATCCAACATTTCAAAATCTTATTGACAAGTTGGGGATGGACAACATTTATTCCCAGTTTAAAGAAGAATGTTAAATAAAAGATAAATTAGGTTAAAAGGCATAAGAGTTTATTATACTTTTTGTGACTAATTATAATTTATTGTTCTTTCCTTTTCTATTGTAGAAAACCTATATATATAAAGTTGTAATATTCAATAAAATTTCCATCAACCATTTTTAATGCTTACCAAGAGTACAAATGCAAAAAATATAGGC